AGGACACTTTCGAATGATTTTTTTTCTAGTCATAACATAAGGGCACAAAATATGTCCCGAGCCAACATCGAAACTCGGAGCTTTCCGAGAACTCCAGTAAAATTAATAAGAAAAACAATAAAAGTACCTAATCCAGTGTTCTGCTTGCCAGGGGTTTTCCGTTTCAACGAACCCACCAGACTGTCGTCATCATCAGAAGACGAATCTGAAACGAAATTAGGCTGATGAAGTAATCGTCTTATCAACTGTCACGCTGCAAACTTTGAGATAACCCGAGACAACAAGCAGACAAAAGACACACCGGAAGCTCGACTGAATCGTTTTCGCGATTCACTGGGACGCTTGATTGGTTGAACAATACTGGGGCGAACTTTGTAACCTTGAGAGTATTCTGCAAGCGCTTGCTGCACTGCTTCGGCGCGAATCTCTGAAATGAAACTAAATGAAATGGATGACTTGACGTAATTACGATTTCAACGGAAAATATCAACGATGACGAAGCGATGTTTCACCTCATCAAAATGAGCGATAGGAAAAATGGATAGAAATACTACCGTAACAGGAGCGGGGTGAATCAGCACCACAGTGAAAACCGTAGATGTTTTTCAGCGCAAAATTGGACAGCAAATTTAACGGAAACGAACGACGACAACACCCATTGTCTGCAGTGAAAAAAATGGTTCGAACCACGCCCCGAAACCTTGTTACAATCCGGAATCCTGCGTCTGCGCATAGGTAAGCGCGGTTACGTGACTACTTCAACTTCTTTCACGATGCTGTTGCAAAATGCTACAGCGCCGTAAGAGCGGTTGCGAAGCACTGAAGGTGCAAGAAAACAAGTGGTGTACCTGGGATTCTTAAAGGCATAAGGAATGATAACTGGCAATCGGTCTAAAATGTTAGCAGGGGTGCTACGTAGTGGGGGAAAATGACGAAAAAGCGAAGTGAAATGGTGGAAAATCTGCAAAAAAGCCTTTGTTCCGCACGACACACGAAGCAGTTTTGGACGAGCGCCCCGTTTTGGCATCGTACCAATAACCGCTCGGTAGATATGGGTACATATATGTACTCATATGTCCACACTGAGCCGCAGCCGCTACCTATCAATCCCTTCTTCACATTGTATCTCGCGAATATAGCGATACGAGCATCAGAGTAAATCGGACATTTGTGGGCGGGCGGGCGCGGTGGGCGTCCGGGTCGGTATGTTGCAGCTTGATAGGGCGCTATAAGGGTACTTTTCTGGAAAAGGCGCCACGCAGCGCCTGCTCAGGGGCGCCGAACTATGTCCTGCTAGTATTAACCCTACACGCCTTGAGGATTTATTGTGACACTTGCCCTGGAATGGGAGGATACAGCGGAAAGGGTGTTTATAGGTAGAAAAATAGAGCGTCTAGGGTTACAATGGGTCTCAAACGACACACACACACACACACATACACACAACGCACACACACACACACC